GGACACAGCGCACGGGGAGCTGGGGCTCGAGCTCTGATCTCGCTCTGGGAACTGGGAGCCGAGGCCGGGCACGCGGGACTCAAGGATGCATCTTGTCACATCAGGCCTGGACAGCGTCGCTCTGGCTCTGGCTTTGTCACCGCGGGCACTTGGCCAGCGCTCGACCTCTCGAAGCCTGTTTCTTCAACTCCAAACTGGCGGGGGCGGGGGGTGAGGCGGTAAATGAGACAAATGTAAACTCCCTTCTACACGGGGGGTTCCCTAACTCTCACTCACCCATCCCATCCGGGGCCGGCCGTCCAGGTATTTGCCGTCCTCCTTCCCTGCGCCTGGTCCTGTGGAACTCAGGCATGGCCAGTGGCATGAAGCGGGGGTGATGGGTGTCACTTCTGTAGGAGGCCTAAGGAGCTGGGGACTGGATCTGCCATAGTGGGAGACCCGTTGAAGGGGCCTCCATCAGTCCAGTTCCCGGGCTGACTCTGGCAAGCAGAGGAACCCCGCCAGCCCTGGACCAACAGGTGGTGTGAGCAAGAAGCTGACTGCAGTTGCTTGAACAGGTGTGAGCAAGAAACTGACAGCAGAGTTTGAGGGGGGTCGAGTGTTACTGCAGCAAAGCCTAGCCCATCCTGGCAGTTACACCGTCCATTACCCCGCCTTCACCTCACTTCTGGTTCAGCTTGTTTTAGCTTCTTTGTCACGCTGAATCGTCTGATTTTCTTGATTCTCCACTTTTTTTTTTTGTCTTGTAAACAGATACTGTCTCCAGCCTGGGCAACTTGGTGAGACCTCATCTCTACAACAAATAAAAAAAATTAGCCAGGCAGGGTGACACATGCCCGTAGTCCCAGCTACTTGGAAGGCTGAGGCGGGAGGATCGCCTGAGCCCAGCATGTCGAGGCTGTGGTGGCCATGAGTGTGCCACTGCCCTCCAGCCTGGGCGTCAGAGTGAGACTCCGACTCAAAAAAAAACAAACCCCAAATTCTGCCTCCTCTTCAGGTGGGCAAAATAATGGCCCCTAAAGATGTCCACGTCCTGATCCTCAGAATCTGTGACTATGTGACTTTGCATGGCAAAAAGGACTTTGCAGATATAATTAAGCTAAATATATCTTTTTTTTTTTTTTTTGAGTTGGAGTCTCACTCTGTCGCCCAGACTGGAGTGCAGTGGCCGCTCCCGGCCACCGCAGCCTCGACCTGGTGGACTCCAGCAATCCTTCCGCCTCAGCCTTCCAAGTAGCTGGAACTACAGGCACGTACTACCACGCCTGGCTGATTTTTTGATTTATTGTAGAGATGAGGTCTCGCTGCCCAGGCGGGTCCCGAACCCGCGGGCTCAGGTAATCCACTCATCTCAGCCTCCCAAAGGCGCGGGATTACAGGCTGAGCCACCGAACTCGGCTAATATATCTTTTTTGTTTGTTTGTTTTGAGTTGGAGTCTCACTCTGTCACCCAGACTGGAGTGCAGTGGCTGCTCCCAGCCACCGCAGCCTCGACCTGCTGGGCTCTGGCGATCCCTCCGCCTCAGCCTTCCAAGTACCTGGAACTACAGGTACGCGCTACCACGCCCGGCTAATTTTTGCTTTATTGTAGAGATGAGGTCTCGCCAAGTTGCCCAGGTGGGTCTCAAACCCGTGGGCTCAGACAATCCACTCACCTCAGCCTCCCAAAGGCGTGAGATTACAGGCTGAGCCACCGAGCCCGACTGAATATATCTTTTTTAAACTTTTTATTTATTGAGTTTTATAAAAAGACATGGATATAAAGCTGAAGATTTTGAGATGGGGAGAGCATCCTTGGATTATCGGCATGGGCCCAATATCATCACAAGGGTTTTTTTGAGTTAGGCAACTGAGGGAGACCCTGTCTCAAAAAATTTTTTTTTTATATTTACTTACACATCTGGAAGTCAGAAGTCACTGAGCTAAAGTTCGTATGGTGGCAGGGCCATGTTTGAAGGAACTCCAGGGTGATCTATTTCTTGCCTTTTCCAGCTTCTAGAGGTCCCTGGCACAAGGCATTCCTTGGCTTGTGGTCCCTTCCTCCACCTTTATTTATTTATTTCTGAGTCAGAGTCTCACTCTGTTGCCCAGGCTGGAGTATGGTGGCAAGATCACAGCCACCGCAGCCTCCACCTGCTAAGCTCAGACAATCCTTCTGCCTCAGCCTTCCAAGTAGCTGGGACTACAGGCGTGCTTTTTTTTGGAGTCAGAGTCTCACTCCATTGCCCAGGCTGCAGTGTGGTGGCATGATCACGGCTCACAACAGCCTTGACCTCCTGGGCTCAGGTGATCCTTCCATCTCAGCTTCCAAAGTAACTGGGACGACAGGTGCATGCCACCATACCAGCTGGTTTGTTTTTTTTTTTGGTAGAGACGTGATCTTGCTATGTGGCTCAGGCTGGTCTCAAACTCCTGGACTCAAGCGATCCTCCTGCCGCAGCCTCCCAAAGTGCTGGGATTATAGGAGTGGCCATGCCTGGCCAAATTTTGCTGTTTTATTTAGTTTTTAGTAATTTAGCAAGAGGACATGAATGTACTCCTTAGTCACTAGAACATCCGCTTCAGGAGGCCAGGTTCTGTTTTGTATGATGGGTGTATCCCTGGCACCCAGACAGTGCTGGGCACACCCAGGAGGCCCTCCATCTGCATTTGCTGACTGGATTAGGAAATCCTACCCCGGGGCCAGATGACTGGACCAGAAGTGGATGCCTGACCCAGGCTGGCCAATTCGACTTCCCCTCCTGGGGCCTGAGCTGGTAGTGTATAGACTGGCATACAGGTTGGCTCTGGCTGGTTGAAACAACAGGAGGATTAATGGGAAAGACTCAGAAGCAGCCCACAAAATCCAGGAGGGAGTTGTCGGGCCTCGCCTAAGCACAACAGGAGCTAGAGCCTTCTAGAAACTTCCCTCTGGCACCTACTCCAGTGTCTCTCCCAGTGGAGGAATCCACTCTGCCCAGCCTTATGCAAATACTGACAAAAGGCTGCCCGTTCCCATAGGGGAGATGTTGACCAACAGCTAGGCCAAGCCAAAATCAACCGCTGATTAATTGCCAACAATAATTAAACACCACCAGGATACCAATACTGAGTCAATCCAATGAAGTTCTATCTTACAGATGGGGAAACTGAGATTCAGAGAGGTTTGGGAAGTTCTCCCAAGGCCACACAGCTGGAAAGATTTGAACTAAGCAGAGGGGAAGATACACAAGCCCCAAGAGATCATGTGGCCCACAGAAACAGGACTTGCCTGACCATGTCCTGGGGCACCTAGGTATGTCCTGCCCTGTCTTCTGTAAGGTTTCTTATAACCTTCCAGAAAACTCATTTTAGCCGGGCATGAGGGCACGCGCCTGTAGTTCCAGCTACTTGGAAGGCTGAGGCGGAAGGATTGCCTGAGCCCAGAAGGTCGAGGCTGCGGTGGCCATGAGTGTGCCACTGCATTCTAGCCTGGGCAACAGAGTGAGACTCCGACTCAAAAAAAAAAAAAAAAAAAAAGGCTGGGCTCAGTGGCTCAGCCTGTAATCCCAGCGCTTAGGGAGGCTAAGGTGAGTGGATTGCCTGAGCCTGTGGGTTCGAGACCCGCCTGGGAAACTTGGCGAGACCTCATCTCTACAATAAATAAAAAATTAGCCGGGCCGTGGTAGCGTGCGCCTGTA